GACAAGGAAGGCACCGCTGCACAGTCCCTCTGCTTCGCCCACCGGCCACGCTTCCGAGCGCCGCCGACCCCGCGCCGCCGGAGCCAAGCTGTCCGCCCGCGCCAGAGCACCGCCGGGGCTATGCTCGCCGTAGCGCTGCCGCCCGCCGCTCACAGTGCACCCTCGCCGGAGCCGCCGCTCTACTCGGCCTCAATCCGGAGACGGCTGCCGCCGGGCACTCCACGCCGCACAGACCACCGCGCCGGAGCCGAAGCCGTCAACACGGCCGGCCCGCCGTCCGCCAGCCTCTGCTCTGCCTCTCTGCTCCCTCCGCCCCTCTCTCTCCGCTCTATCCCTCTTTCTCTCTCTCTCCCTCTGCTGCCGTTGTTGGAGACGGACGCGGGTCGCCGCGCCACCGCATGGCCGGCCGCGTCGGGGGCCCCTCCGCCAGAGCCCTAGGCCGCCGCCGGCGCCCGGTGCCCTGAGCCCCTGCTCTCCCATCTATGCTTCTCCTCCTCCCTGTCTCTCTCCCCCTCTCGCTCTTCCTCTCTGTTTCTGGCTCGTTGACCGCACGGACAGAGGATGAGGACGATGGGCAATGGCCCCGTGACCGAGTGGCCACGCCGCGTGAGCCAATGGCCAAGTGCCATGTTGGTCTGCAGGGCCCACCTGTCAATGGCACAGCGGCCAACCACCTCTCTCTTTCTTCTGTAGGCCGGGTCTTCATAGACCAAAAATAGAAAGAGGATAGGTCCACCGATCGGCTCACGGTACAGTGCCGAGTAGCTTTGCCAACCAGCCGGGGACCACGCGTCAGCCTAAGGCTGAGAAATGCTATGCGTACACGGAAACGTACACGGGAGATTAATAGTAAGCCTTTTTGATTTCAGGAAAATTCTTAGAACATTTCTAAATAAACGAGATCCTCCTTAGAACCTACCCAAATACTTTTCCCTCATTTTTCCATTAACTAAAATTCTGTAATTAATTCCCAAAGTTCCTTTCCATTCGCATTTTGCCGATAAATTTTAACAATTTATATCTCCTCCATCGTAACTCCGAATCCCATAATTCTTCCACCAAAAATCTTATAAAATTTAACCCTGCATATTCATACCCTTTTCTTAAATTTTTTGTGCCCATTTAAATTCTAGATATGTATGTTTTCTATTTCTTTTAATGCGGATCTTAGTATAAAAAAACTAGAATAAGAATACTCACGTATATACACTTACATAAAATAATATTAGTATATATATATATACGTGTACATGATATCCCGCATGATGTACATGCATATGCGATGGCTAACTTATTCCAAGTATTTATATACATACGTAGGTATAACCGTCATGTAAATATATTATTATATGTGTATATTTATTCCAAGTATTTATATACATACGCAGGTATATAAATATAAACACATAAATAACATACATGACGGTTATACCTACGCATGGCTAACTTTTATACTCATCCTTTCACCCTAACCGTAGGCATACATATGTATGAGCATATATGCCGCTAACCTTAATCACCACCCACACTACTCACATATAATGATATACGTTGCACACACACATAGAAATAATAAATAGCACGTGCATATACACACATATATAAACGCTAAGTATCATACTTATGCATGACTAACCTCATACCTCGTCTTCATCTTAACTAAACCCAGGCATATACATATGTATACGTGTATGTGCCACTAACCAAGCCATAGCCCACACTATTCCAACCCTACACCTCTGCCTTGCCTATACCCTGTACGTGTATATGAATGCATATGCATGTACCTACGCACTTAACCCCACCTCCACGTAATAGGAATACCTATATGAGAATCTACCTAACTAACTTTAGCAAATACCCCTGTGAATCTGTAGAAGTCATTCCAGTCATATATTTGATTACTTGGTCAGGCTCTCTCTTTCAGATTCACATAATAGTGAAAGATAATAATGTGGTCTATTTTTGCCAGATAACCACTTTAACCTAACCCGTAGGAGCCACGTCTTGTTGGATGGAATCTCTCTATCCAACCCTTACTTCAAATTGACATAATAATAATAATCATATAATCGAACTCATCAAACGGATAGAATCCACCCATCTAGGATCGTTTCCTTCCCTTGATTAATTATGCTTGTTTTGCATGTCTTGCTTGGTGTTTTCCTTGTTTGTGTTTTTTTGCTTGTCGGCGCTAGACAGCGTAGGATAGAAGACGTGAAGAGAACTTGACGGAACCCAGAAGTGCCATTACACGGAGACGGTGAAGTAAGAAGCACAGGAATCAGGATCTTAGAATAAGGGTATACTCACCAGCAGGCGGAGGCAAGTCTTAACTCCCCCTTCACCATCACCACACCTTACTACCACCACCATAAAACCTCCGCTTTCTATCTCCCTAATAAATTAACTAAACTTATATTATATTATCCCCTCATTGCGAATTATGGATTATTATGAATTATGAGCTTGATTATCGTGATGTGAATATTGATAATATGATAAGACGTATTATGACACCTTATGAACTCTGTGATAAAAGTGAACCTGAGGATAATTGTGAATCATAACTTGGTAAACCTAAACTTAATATCGACAGGAGGCGAGTGAGGGGTAATTCATGTGGTATGGATTACCTTGGTAGGATCGCCTAGTGAGGGTTCCTGTTGGAAGATACTCGCCTCGGTCACATAAGGACCGGTTCATTTGCTATCTCGCCTAGCCAGATATTACGTACAGCCACATATCAGTATGGGCAGACTTGATCTCACGCCCCATTAGATAGAAGTATAAATTCTACTAGGAGGTCGGTGTTGGCAGCGGAATATCAGGAGAAGACCTAGTTGCTGAGTGATCTTCCGTGGTCCGGTTGGCGTGGTTGCTAAGTGATCCTCCACATTAGGCCCCTTGATTGGCCGAGTTTGAGTCCCTTTTATTGACCGGATGATGTGGTATCATCCAGGTTATTGAAATGGACGATGTGGCATCATCCAAATTATTGATATGGATGATGTAGTATCATCTGAAGTTTTCCACCCATGAGAAGCTGTGGTAGAATTATATGGACATCTAAGGTCGCATACTTTCGGGTACAGGTCTCGTTAGGCCTATTCCGTCCATTGATCATGTATCGGAATGTGCCTATCATGTGGGGAAATTTATACACCCTCTGCAGAGCGTATTGAATATATTCGAATAGACACGTCCTTGGAATGGGCAATCGATGGGATGAAGATCCAAATGATTAGATGTTTTATAAAAGGAAATTGTGATAATCTGGCAAGCTAGAAACCATTAGTCTAGTAAGATATAACCTGTAAACCCCGGAAACTGGCGAGAAAGATTAATACTCTCCCAGGGCCTAGCCACCTTTTTAATATGACTTTACTCCTAACATAACTATCCATCATCACCAACATAAACCACCTCCACCACCATAAACCCTTCCACGTATAGCCTCCGCCATCCACTCCACCTTACCCCAAAGTTAGGGCTTGGTGAGTACTTTATGTACTCAATCCTCCCCATTCTATGTTTTTAGGAAGAAGGCTACAGGAGTATATACGAGGATGGAATTATCCAAGCTACGCAAGGAATAGGACAATAGAAGTGCACGCGAAGATGGAGCCGTACGACTACGCTAGGATTGAGATATAGGAATAAGTCTAAGGTTTACGTACGCACTCCAAGTTGCTTGTAGGAATGGAGCCACGACAACATAGGACCACTGTGTTAGAACTCTAATGCTAGCTATAAGGCCAATGGCCCTAGCTATGTAAATATGAACTTTGTTTTCCCCGATAGCAATAAAAGTATGGGTTTTGATATCAATCTTGTTCGAATTGTGCGTATCAGCTACTGGTCCAGAGACTGATACATGATGCATAAAGGACCCTAAATTAGGTGCCTGACAAATGATATGATTTTTCAAAGGCGATAAGCGTTTGTCGTAAATAATATGATGTTGAAATTTTGTATTATTTTTGTAAGCTTCTTAACGACCTCAAATGAAAAAACTCATAACCAAAAAATAGTATATCTCGTCGATTGCTACAATTCTCATATAAAAATCATCTTCGTCCGACGTTGTACAAAAAGTACGATTTTTCTAAAGTGAGCCTTATCGCGCCAGTATGAGTGGCGCGGCACTATAGCATTACCACGATAACGGGAGTGGTGCAGTAAGGTTTGTCACCTGGAAATCATTGTCCAGCGTGGCATGCATATGACGCGGCAGCATGATTTTTGCCTAGTCAGGCGCGTTGGCCTGGCCAAAAAGGTTAAAAATAAAAAAAATTGATGGGGGTTATTTTTATAATAAGATTTGAAAAAGGATTAAAAATTACCTATTAGTCGCTAGGGTGCTGGCTCATTCTTTCTTTATTTTGGCTATGTGTTTTTATGCATAGGTGAGAAGTGGTTTTATTGAGTTAATAGAATTCTTTCTTCATTGAAAAAATAGGTTTTATAATTCTGAATTGCGGAAACCTATTTTCTATTACCCTGGTCATTACAAACTGTATTAAGTTGCAACAACAAAATAGGTTTGCAGATTCAATGGGCAACAGGTAACCCACTGACAACACTAGGGGTGAATATGAACGCGTTTAGGAAAAATAAAATCCATATCGTTTATACCCCATTTTCAAATTTGGCAGAAAATAGGAAAAAAAAAGCAAAAAACAATCGAGATAACTGCAAATACAAAATCAAACATGTTGAATGTAGAAATCGGATCAAGGCGGAAAGGGATCCATGTATCCCAACCGTTTTCGCCCCTAGACAGCACTCGGAATCAATCACCACGGTACTCCGACCTTGCCTCACACTCAAAACGCTATCAAACAACAAGTAAATGTGGCATGGTGTCACGAAGACAACAGAAAAAAAAAACAAGAAGAGACTACACTGGGTGACCGGATATCTAGCTGACAATGGAGGCTAAGACACACAGATATATAATTCGAACCAGAAGATGTTTGTCGTGCAGACTGGATAAGTTATAACAGCTTCAGACTCACGTGTTTTAGATCTTCCTTGAGCTGGCTCTGCAAATTTGTCTTCAATCCGTCTCTGGTTCTACTACCCAGCCGAATTTCCTTGAGGCTTGGGAGAAATGCTAGCCCGTGCATTTCCTCCAAATAGTAACTGTCAGAACGTATCAGCTCGAGCTTGGGCATTCCGTGTTCTTTAAATGATACCACCTCATACCACCCATATTTGAGCTCCAGTACCATGAGACTCGGGAAGGATGGACCTTGGAAAAGGAGGGTTTCAATAGTCGTAACAGCCCCAAAACGCAGATCTAAAACTTTAAGATTTGGTAGTTGTCCAATAGCTTGTATGGGAACAGCTGAGTCAATATTGGTATCCTCCAGCTGCAACTTCAATAGATTCTGAAGCTTATTGATCCACTCAATTACTCTGACCAGCTTGCCCTCCAGCTTGAGGCTCTCAAGGTGTATTGGCGGCAACAAATCCCCACCCAAATAACTATCTAATCCATGACCCTTCACTGACAGAGATCGGAGTTGCTTGTGACCAGAAATGGCAGACCAGAACTTCTTGCTGTATTTGCTGTACACTCCAGCCACACCAAGCTTACGTAGCTGAGTAAGCTCTTGAAGCTCTTTCAGAGTGGTCTTGCTCCGTGCAACATTGACAACTCCTAGTGTACGCAGGGCCTTCAATTTTCTCATTCCTCTAGGAGCTTCAACACCCCCTAATACAAGCCTAAAGAAGGCCGATTGTATGTTCAATACATCTCGCCTGTTCAAACCCTCATCTAAAGCTTGTGGCCTCCAACAGAAAAGGCAAATAAGCAAGCAAAAGAGGGTCTGCGATAGACGCATGCGAATGTGGTATAGCAAAGATGTGCAGCAATTATGCTTTCTGATGGGAACATCTTCCTCGAGAAGACTGCCTCTGGAGCCATCTGATATCTCACTATGCCACAAAAGGAAAGCATCTTGGACAATCCTCGCGATGGCATCATAGGATACTCTTGGGTCATCAACTAGGTGATCCTTTATATCTGGAATGATAGATTCAATACTTTTCATGAAAACAGTGCTGCAAAAACGTAGCGAAAAATATGATGATCCTTCATATTCATCGAGATGGCCCATTATATCATCTTCCTGGCCCTGTTGTCTTCTTTCCAAATGATCATCAGATGCAAGAAGGTGTTCTAGCTTCCGTAGCTTGGTGATTGTAGATGGCAATCTAACTATTTTGGTACCTCTACCATCCAGAGTTTGGAGGTGTCTCAGATTTCCCAAAGAACTAGGGAGGCAGAAGATGTTGCAACATCCTCGTATAGAAAGGTACCTCAGGTGAAAGAGCTGCCCAACTTGATCAAGATGATGATCTCTTAACCCCAAGGTATCGCCCAAATCCAGCACTCTGAGAAACCTCATCTTATCAGAAATAAAAAATGTTTTCCAATCTCCAAACACGGTCAATGACCGTACATGCGACAAGTCCACCATGCTCTCCAGCACATCTTTATCTCTTTTCCAGTTGCTGCCTATGACAAGATGACGTATTGTACCTTGTGCATCGCTCAAACAACACCCTTCCTCTAGAGTGAAAGCAAGGTTTTCCTCCCTAGCCTTTAGCATGCATATTTCACGGATGAGGTCATGAAGCTGGCAAGAATCAATTGCCCCACCATACTGAATTTCCCCTTCACATAGCAATATCATGCTCCTATCAAAAAGCTCATCAAAATACTTGTCACCAACTTCCTCTGCAGTGATGCCACGCATTTCCCTACAGTAACCCTCAGCTATCCATCTCCTTATCAAACGTTTCCGCTTAATTTTGTAATCTTCTGGAAATATGGACATGTATAAGAAAGCGGACTTGAGATGGTATGGTAAACCGTCATAGCTCCTCATAAGAACTGTCTTTATAGTCCTAAGTTTTGGATTGATGTCTAGTTCAACCCTAATGTGATCATTGACCTTTCTCCATTCTGTGGCAATTTTAGGCTTAGTAGCTAGGAATCCACCTATAGTAGATATTGCAAGGGGAAGTCCATGACACTTCTTCAGGATTAGTGCTGCTTGATCCAACATATCAGGGCCTAAATAGTACTTCTCAACGTTGTCTTTAAACACCTGGAACAAATATAATTAAGCTTATTAAACTTGAAATGAAAAAAATGATTATTGTTAACTGAAAATACGAAACGTCAATGATTTGTTTGACCAATAAATCATTTTATGTTCTCAAAATTAGAATTCTAGATTTCAAAATCATGAAATTAGAAAAACAAAATTTTAGCACTCCAAAAAATTCCAAATAAAGAAGTTGTAAATTATAAAGTTGTGATCCCACAAAGCTCTACTATATGATATAAAATTCATTGTATTATCCAACTTCATATTTAAAAGTTTATGAATATTTTTGCCACAACAGTCAGTTATGTATAGAAGCGTGCCTCTCAAGAGTGCTGGCTCCCAAAATCAATTGTTACAGGCAGCACGTGTCCTTGGACGCATTGTTGATTTACAGAGGTGGTAAAAAAAATGTAACATCTGTGTAAACGAAGGGGGGAGTCTCCAATAATTATTTGTGGTAGTGTGTTCTTGGCCCAATGTGAGTTCCTAGTGTTCGGTGCTATGGTGTAAATGGCCATACACTATTTGTGGTGTGGCATGAGGCATCACTAGTAAAAAATTGGGTATAGTCCTGGTTAGGAAACAGGGATCTGGGACTAAAGGGTCTGCAAGGCTAAAAAAATAATTAGCACAAGCCTCCAGCCCCTATGATTCGTGGGACTCAAACCCAAGACGTCATGCATTGCCTCGTACATAGCTTTCCACCACACCTACACAACACGAGACTTTGGATGAGATGCTTTTCTTTTGAACTAATCTGTGGATGATCCTTTAGTCCGGGTTAGTCCAACTCTAGCCAGAACTAATGTGCTGAACCGAAGATCCTTCTCTACTAATGCATTGATTGCGGTTGGAGCGTCACAGTTGGTGTCACTACCACAGATCACAACACTACTGCCAGGTCTCAACTGCCCATCACTGGAGGAAAACGAACCACTCAAATTCGAGATCTCAGCGTTTACATTCCCTCGTGCATACATACCAATTGGGCTACGCGACACATGTGACTATACAGCTGACGCTATTCTTTTAACTACACATTTTTTTATCTTATATTGTATATTTGATGATACTCAAAACAATCTAAAATGAAAAAGATGTTAATTGCAAAGTTGTAGATCTCCTCAAATGCTACAATATTGATGTTGACTTTGTCTCCATTGGACATTCTTAATCATGTCAAATCTGACCTAACAAATTATATTCAATATTTGGACTTGTATACCACCTCAAATTAAAAAGTTTATCTTCATTCAATCCCATATGAAGAAGTTATGAATTTTTCTTGTGCAAAACAACTATCAGTACTAGTTCGAGATATGAACCAGTAGTGATAGGTGGACTATCACTATCAGTTCGTGGCTTGAACCAGCAGTGATAGCACCATGCCTATCACTGTCGGTTGTGATATCACTACTGGTTGAAGCCATGAACTAGCAGTGATATACGGCAGTGATGAGGTGGCAGTGAATGTCAGTTCTGTAGCAGTGTGCGGTAACTGGCGTTAAATATAACAATAACATAGATAATTCATGCATGCATGCAAGACCGAAAAATATATATTTCTCTATTTCAGCTTTTATGAAAAAATACTTTTAACCCATTTAAATGCATATTAATATCCATAGTCAAACCAAAGCTTATATACTTAAAGTAACCCCATAAATCTGCATATAAAAGTTACCTAACTTAGTCATTATAAAAATAATAATAAGCAAACCACTAAATTTAGATCACTTAAAAAATGGAATATCTAAAAATAATGCTTGTATGTGCCGCTAAATTGTCCACTTCAACCACTATTTATAGTTTATAAAAACTAACTCAAATAAGCATATATGATGTTTGCCATCAAGCAGACAAAGAATACATGCATGAGTAAGCGATAAATATATATTTTTAGGTTGGCAATAATGCAAATCTATGCCTTAACAAACCATATACTAATGACATTAACAATTCCTTCTTAATTATATTATTAATCCATGACAATAAATTATCCAAGTTTTTACCATTGATAAATTTATTATTTTTGACAATCTACAATGGTAGTTTAGTTGTGAGCTCTCTCTATTCTTATAAAAGTTACTACTACAAAAATATTTCTTTGTTAGAGAAATTCAAAAACTTAACCGCCATGGTGCACGCTAAAGTGATGATTTAGGAAGTTGTAGTAACTAAGGGTTTAGTATACTGTATATATTCCAAATTTAAAAAAAACCTAATAAATGAGAGTTAAAAAAGTACAATAAGAATTCTAACTTAAAATATAAATAAAAAATGTTGAACAAATTCGATCAAATTTTGAATCTCAAAATTCAATTTTTTTTTTGTCGTGAGACATGGAGTATAATAAGTGCTAACGTAATTTAAGCTAGGCTCTCAACTAATCAATATATTGAAAATACATGGACGTGCGAAAACTTACCATGACCAATATTGATTAAGGAATATCAAATTAATGTGTTGCATTGGAGATTACAAAAACCTACATAGCTAAACAGAGGGAATAGTCGTTATCTTACAAAAGCCACTTTATATTCAATATTGAGGGCTCCCGAATATTTGAATGTAACTAAAGAATAGATTGAGAAAAGACTGGGAAGTTCGAAAGGAAAATGCTCTCGTTTTTTGAGGTCCCGAGAGTGGTGCCGAAGAAAAATGAATATTATAGATCAAGGTTCCATAAACATTATGGTCAATAACAAAAAGATTATATACTAGCTAGTGGTCTAGTATTCATAAGCAAAGGAGCAGAGGGGCTTGTGTATCTTGAATCTTGACACAAAGAATAAATGTTTGCTAAGCAAGTGGTTGTTTATTCTATATAATGAAGAAGGCTTGTGGCAACAAGTTCTCATTAACAAATATCTTAGCCACAAAACACCAATTAAAATGTTTTCGATTGATTTTACTGGAGTGAAGGATCATTTATTATCTTTATGAAATTTAAGCTTGGGGACAGCTCACAAATCAGGTTATGGCCTGGAAGATATCCAAGTAGGAAGATGTCCCCTTTATGCTCAATATCCGAACCTATATAATATTGCTCCGCAATGACATGATATTGTGACAACTATTCTTGGCAATGTACATCTTAATGTCTCCTTTCGAAAGGCATTAGTCGTAAATAGTTGCTGGAGTGGAAAATTTGGTAGCATGAGTAGCTAATATCGATCTACAATTCTAATGAGACTGTTTTTTGTTTGCTAAACAAAAATGGTTCATTCACAGTAAATTCTATGGCTGGATATATTATCAACAAAGGCACAAAAGTTTTCCATGAAGTTTGGTGGCTCAAGATACTACTTAAAATTAAAATATTCATTGTCCCAAACAGTGGTTATTCTAACAAAAGATAATTTAGCTAGAAAAAAACTAGCGGCAGCAAGGTGCATATTCTGTTACTAGAACGATAGAATTCATCACCTGTTTTTTTGATTGCATTTACAGCAAAATCTTTTGGCGGTTTGTTAACTTGGTTCCTAGGCTTAGAACTTCCGAGTGACGTTCAAGACCTTTTCCATAGGTGGCACAAAAAGAGGACTTGAAATAAATCTTTGTTGTGATGCAATATGGGTAACAAGGAATATAGTTGTTTTTGAGAAATGCGGACTCGAAACTTTTTTGCAAGTTCTGTTCACAAAAACACGTTGATTACATCAATGGGAACATTTATTGTGGGCTGAAGGCAACATTTATTGTGCACGTCCAAGATTGTGATGTAATTTTTTTCTTCCTTTGGATGGCCAAATAATGGTAGATTGAGTTTTGAGTTGAATTTTTTTGTTACTATTATGGTGTAATAAGTGGTTTTTTTCTATTGGCTACAAGAGATCAAGCTACATTTATTTCCTTTATCTAAAATGATCAATCTCGAAGGCGTCCAAATAACTAGTTACACTAAAGTTACAGCCACTTCATGCTTGAGAAAATGAGAGAGTTAACTAAAGCACATTTTTTATGTAATTAGCAAACTATATATTACATGAATAAATAAACAAAAAGTATGTTCAAAAGACTTAACAATCCTAATACAAATTATAGTATATCTCTCATGAACCAATAGCCAAAGCAAACTCATTTCATCAGTACAAATAATTGATAATAAAGTGTTCAAATGTACCTTCTTCATGAAGAGGGCAAGTGCCTCTTCTTGGTGGAGGACTTGGAGTTGGTGCGTGTTCATGTCTCCTCCCGAACAATATCTGGCAACACTATTTTCTCTTGTGGTGACTATGATCCGTTTAGCTTTTGCCAATTGGCCTCGAATCAAGTCCCATTCTTTAGTAGATGACAGGTCATCAAGAACAATGAGACACTCATGCTCTTCTAAAAGCTGGCTTAACTTTTCTGGTAAGTCATCCAATCTCATAGTTGCTAGGTTTTTCCTTTCCTGTTTTGTTTCATTTGCTACAGTAGGATCATCTGTCAATAATTGCAAAGCTAAGGTTCTGATGAGCACTTCAGGGTTGAAAGGACGTAGAGCAGTGACCCAAGCACGCTTCCAGCCACCAAGTTCTTGGCTTCGGTAGATGCTTCGGACAAGAGTTGTTTTCCCAAGGCCTCCCATTCCCCAGACAGATATAACTTTGCAGCCTTGCATGTCCATAGGTTGACCAATCAAATCAATCACTATGGATTTCTCTGTCTTTCGCCCAACAAGCACATCATCAATAAGTGCTATTGTCCTAGTGCGATCAAACTTCTTTCCAGCAGTTGAAGTAAAGAAATTATTTGCACCAGTACTCTCTGGTTCTTGATATTCTTCCTGTATCTCACTACTAGGCGTTGCTGGGTCACAGATGGGCACGGGCTCTGATGAAAGAGCAACCTGATGAACACAAACAATTGTTTCAGAAATTTATTCACTTGTGGTCTATACAAGTTCACATTGAGCTATCTGTCATTAAGATATTGATATTCACATTACACTTTCAGTAAAAATAATTAATATGCCCACAAAGATATCTAATTTTAAAGATCTCCAACAAAACTTTCACAATATGTAACATTTGGGATTTTCTATGGTACTCCCAAATAATTGTAGACCATTTATTTAGATAGATCTTGATGTTAATTATTACATATTACCTCCTAGGAAGTATCAAAGTAATATGAGAAATATTAATATATTTTTTTACTTTAGAAAGTAAAAAAATAGATAAACTATCTTGCAATTTGATTTATTATATGCATGAATACGGTAACATGCATGCGTGATGGATAATAATGTGATTATTTAGTTTAAAAGATTTTTTTAATTCGAACAAAAGCAAACGTTTGCACACACGGCTCATGAGATGATACTCACGGCTCACCTCACAGTTGCCGGGTGAGCACAACATCGAGATGCCGGGGTGTTAGAGAGATGAGATAACACCGACACTACATTCCAGATGCACTATGAGAGTGCATCTACACCCATTGCGGGTACACTACATGGCGTGTCAGATATCACTGGCTCGACTGTTCCTAGATTCAACATCAACTTCTTCAGAAGGCAATAATATGCTCTCCAGATAGGATGATTTGCAGCAAGGACACCCTAATCTGTTGATTAGCTTAGATTGATTGCCATGCATTACTTTCCTTTGTATTTTCCATATGTCATCTGGATTTATTATTTTTTATTATTTTAATTATTGGGATGGCTATAATTTTTTCCCTAATTATTTAATTGTTTTTAGAAATTAAGGGATATGATTCTTTTGTGATCTTACCTCCTAGAAGGTAACGAGAGTACCACATAACATTTTCAAATAGAATAGTGATCATAATGTCATTGGGAGTCATGCATGCAGTAGATCTGAGAATGCATTATTTTTTATGTTTGTTAAATACTTTTTAAGCTAACTACCAGGATCAACTCGTCTGTAGCATAAATCTGATAATAGATTTGGAACATAATAACAAAGTAACCTGGAATGCATAATCTGTCAAAATTACAAAGATATTTGAGACGACACAAAAAATTCGAGGGTGAGATGCAAGTCATATAAAGAACAGTGCATGCAAGAAAATATAATATGTGTGCATGCAATTTATAAAATGAATTTTCAGTAGAGTTGAAACCATAGTTTTGTTAGATGATTGGTTTGTTTCCTGTGCTACCTTCTTGGGATGTTCATTGTTGATCAACTGGCGGTGGTTCACATTTGATTTTCCCTCCACTAAATCAGCAGGCTTTGCTTCATTTTCCTCAAACTTCGATATACCGGCAGTGTTGGTCCACTCCTCTGAGTTCTTTTGTCGGAAATGGAACAAATACAACAACTTGAGCCGCATATAGAAAGGAAACAAAATAATAACTGTAAGATCTTTTTAGATGGAGAATTACCTTCTTATGGAACAGATAAAGTCTTTGGTCATACGGCAGGTGCTTGAGCTCGGACATTTGGTACGGTTGTTCTGTGCATAATCTTGCAACCTCAACTTGCTGAGTCGACACTATGACTCTGCTCTGTTTCTTGTTGTCAGGGAAGTATCTTCTGATGCATTGCCACTCTTCTACTGTGCGTAGGTCATTTATTACAACTAGATAGCTATTGCTACTCAACTGAGCAGTAAGCGTATGCACTAAATCACTTTGATTCATATTCTCCATCTTCAGAAGAACACTAGCCCCAACATTTGTTACTTCTTTCCCCCCTTGATCATGAAAATTTTCAAAGAACTGCCTTACCATGCTATGAATAAACTCTTTTGGATTGAAAGGGTGAATCAGCCTAACCCATGCCCTGCATCCATACATCGAGGTTACCCTTGGATCATCATAAACCTCATGGATGGCGGCCGTCTTCCCAAGATCACTGGTTGTTCCCCACACGGCCATCACCCTAAGCTCCACCTCCTTGGCAGTGACCAGCTGGAGGAGGTCTGCCTTGGACTTTTTCTGCTCTACGGCAGCAATCATGGCTTGATTTATGCTAAGCACTGCTGCACCATCAGAGTCAGCCTGATCCGCCGCACCGGCAGGCCTGGAGTTTGAGCCATCCTTGATGAGGCGGTAGCGCAGGTTTCTGTTGCTTACATCCTCGACCTTGGCCCTTAGCTTCTTTACCTCCTTGGCAATGCGACGGCGATCGCACAAGTTACGGGGGATACACCCCCAGATCGGCTTCTTCCCGGTGTGGAGGCCGAAATCCATGAGACTGTCCTCCACATTGTAGGCCAGGTCGCGGACCTGCGTTACCCAGGTTGTGAGCACCTTGCTCTGGCTTCGTTCCTCATCGGCTGCCATCAGGAAGGACTGCATCATCTGCAGCTCGTCGGTGATGAAGATCACGTCATCCTCAACGCCGAGCTGCAATGCAACCTCCTCTGCGGCCTTGGACTTGGCATAGCTGAGCGCTCCGCCCAGCACAGCCTTGCCCAAGCTCATCGCTGTTGCCTCCATGATTGTATTCTCCTGACACACTCGATTTGCAGAAGAAACAATGCTACTATTGTTAACACCAAGCAGCCTCGGATAACTAAGAATGAGGGAGCTGAGCTTTTGGAAGACAAATTTGTCAAGTCTATTTTTTTTCCTCACAGGAATTTTTCCTTTTAATTGTTGATGAGTTGAAAAAACAGGCCTGCATTGAATACATAAATACAGTTTTATTAGGATAGATCAAAGACATCCAGAAAGAAAAATCTAAAAGATAAATGGGTTTACTACTGATGAGCAACTAGTTATTTTGATGAAAAGATTATATTGTTTGAGCACCCTTTGGATGATGATTATTGTCTTATTAATTTTTTTCTTTCCACAAGAACTTCTAATTTTTTTTTACATTACTTTAGTTTCACTTCAAGACATAAATTGTTTGTTAATCCCTCCATTAGTTTTAGATGTATAACAGAAAACAGAGGTAAACATTTTTGTTCGAATGTCTAGGACGTACAAATGTAAAGATTAGTTATGTTATTTCTCTGTACTTTTGTTTTCTACGCTTACTGGTACTACTGCATCATTGGATACTTTGCGGTCGACACAGGTTATTTGTTTTTCTTATAAAAATAGTTATTTGCCACTTGCCTTGTTTCAGCTGCACCTAGGGAAACGTACAATACGCGTGCTACTAAATTTTAAGAGACATAAGGACCAGAAATTTGTGGATCAAGCGTTGGCAACACTAGTACGTCTAGTATTAACAATACGAGTGTGTGCCTTCGTCCACAACACTTTATCGGGCCTAGCAACCCTGGCACATGCTTCGTCTATGGCGACTTGATTGTGTATTGACCCTTCCAGCCTCGATTGCATAGTCGTTTTCATCTACATCCTTGATGGCCCTCACTGCGTCGACTTTGGCATCACCACCTTTCATGACGAGTACCTCAATGTCTCATCGTCATCATCATGGTGCCTCTTTTGTACCGGCTCAGCATCGACTAGCTCGACTGTTACATCGATCATGACTATCTCCAATATAAGGACTCTATTCAAGCCAGGGTCTAAGGCTCTCTGTTAGGCATAACAAGGATTAATTAGTTAACGAGTCATACCGAGCGAGTGGGTTAATGTTCACAATTTGAAACCGTTAATTAAATTGACTAGTCCATCAACATGTGCTCTCGCACGGGCTACAATACTAGAAGACATAAGAAATAGTCATAAAATTACTTATATGAAATTACATATTTTTCTCCTAGTTTACTTTCTAACAAATATACATAATACATAATGTAGTCTTTATCTAATTGTGATAAACTTATCAATTACTGATCTATATGCTTTATTCATCCGTATCCTTATTTTTTTTCTTTGCATTACATCTTTGTGTATCTTGAATATGCATTTAGTTGAATCTTAACTTAAACTATAGTGGCTCTTGTGTACCTCATATCTTATGATGTCATAAACCTAAATTTTGTTTTTCAAATTTTAATCTTATTGGTTGCTATAGACTTTTTCTTCTAGTGCTAAGTTGAAACTCTTGTGTTCATGGTACAATTTATTAACTCTCTTTTGTTTTTCCCAAAAATAAGGATTTTAGGTCGTAGGCCACACTTTTAAGTACTATGATGGCATAAACTGTCATTTGAAGCATGCATCGTGTTGGTTAACTTAATGGTGGTAAGCTTGAAGTGGGATAGGGTAGGGGAGGTAGGGCAGTGCTAACCTCATGAGGATATTAATATTTAAGCCTTACAGTGTCTGCTTACTCCAAAGGAATCTCAAAGGTTATGGATCGAGAGATAGCCACCTGTGGTCTGCACTATATATCCTCCCTTATTTTTCAAGATGTTTGAATTTTGTTGTCAGGGAATTATATATGCAATAATGGTTATACTATCAACAGAGTTATGCCAAACCCTTTAGTTAAAATGTATAAATATATCTAAAGTAACAACTTACATAATTTGTATTTTGTGGTATTAGTATAGTTTTATGTTGTTAAGAAAATATTTTCAAGATTACTGAAACATATATTTACTACTACATGCATGTGTACTTGATCAACGTGATGGCACAACATGTTTGCTTACTTTAATCAATTTAATATTTTAATACTCATAGAAGCGAGGTAACGTAGAAACATATATATGTCTTAAGGCTATTTAAAAGTTTATGTAAGAGTAGATTTTGGTAATTAGATGTAGATTTAAGGGGTTATTTTAGTTTTTTAATAATTGCATAAGTGTAAATTAGATCCAAACTTAAGGGCTTATATAGATTATATGTCATAATAGAAGCTGTGAGATTCAGTTTACAGTAGACTATTTTTTAATGAACATAACTGTGTAGTTTAAATATAGACATGGGTTACTTTATGTTGCTTTTTAATACCTAGCCTATTAGTATCCTACTATCCTGTAGTAGTTGTCCTGTTTAAGATTGGAGTCTGTGGGTTTAGTATCACATTGGTAGTTTACGAGGTTGATGGCCGGGCAAATCGAGCCCGGCCCGTGAGCCTGACGGATTTTAGCCCGCCCATGAACCTTAGTTAACAAGGCCTGGGTAGAGATCTTGTTGCCAGGAAATTTTTTCTTGGCCCCAACCCGGCCCCACTACAACAATTAAAACTTATCCGAGGCGTTTGGCAAAGGGGCTCGAAGGCGGGTGGGCATTTGAACCGCCTCGGTTAATACCTAGGATTAACTGAGGTGGTCATTTTTATTAACCGAGGCGGTCATAATTAACCGCCTCGCAAAATCAATTTACGGCCTCCGTAAATCTATTAACTGAGGCGGGCCTTTGAAGAGGCCTGCCTGGGAAAATAGGGCCATTTTCGGAGGCGGGCCTCTTAAGAGGCCTGCTTCCGTTAATAAGGCCGAGCCCAATAGAAGCTCATCTCGGCCCGGATACATCACGATATATAAAGAGATGAAACCCAAGCTCCCTCACTCAGCCTCTCTCCCTCACTCAGCCATCTCTCTCCCTCCCTCCCTGAGCACGGCGGCTTGCGGTGGCGACCCTCCCTCCGCTCCGACGCGGCGCCCCTCCCTTCCCTCCCTCCATCTCTCTCAAGCTCGCGCGGGCGCGGCTGGCGAGGTGAGGCAGGCCACGGCATGGGCGCGGGCGCGACTGAGGCCGAGGAGGCGCGCGCGGGCATGGGCCCGGCCGAGGCGGTGGCGCCGCTCCTCCTTCGGCGCTCCTACGCCACCTCTTCGTCAACTCCGGCATTGGGAGGCCGAATCTGGCGGCGGGAAGGCCGGATCCGATGAGCGACGGCGGCGGCGCGGGCGTGGGCATGGCCGAGGCGGCGGCGCCGCTCCTCCCTTGGTGCTCCTACTCCACCTCTTCGTCAACTCCGGCGTTGGGATGCCGGATCCGGTGGTGGAGAGGCCGGATCCGGTGGTTGGGAGGCCGGATCCGGCGAGCGACGGCGGCGGCGGCCCGTGGATGGGCTCAACGGGCCGATGGGTGGGCTCGCTGGGCTTGTCCACGGGTTTTCATTTTTTTTTGTTTTTTATTTGATTTACCGAGGCCGGATTAACCGTGACCTTTGCTTGGAGGCGGATGGGATGCTCGCCTCGGTTAAGTTTTCTATAGTAGTGCCTGAAATATGTATTTTAGTTGTTTTACACAACAAATTGCATAGGCGGCCCGCCTAGGCCCGGGTCCGGCCCAAAAAAATAGACCCGACTCACCCAGTGGTATGGTCATAGGTGGGACTTTTTGGGCCCGAAACAACCGGGCATTTTTCGGCCCAGCCCAAACCCAGCCTGGCCTGCAAAATGCTCAACTCTAATCCTTGTCACTCCAAACGTAGCATCTCCGGGTTAACCTTTTTACACGAAACAACCATGCATGAAAGTATAAGGTGGTAGGATGCTTTTCTTTGCATTCATGCCTTTTTAGAAATCATGTGTGCCTGTTGCACATGAGGAGCTAGGACATAAGTAGATTTTGGACGCGAGGTGTTACTGATGGTATTCAAAGAGTCAACCTTTCATCGTATGTGCATGTAATTCTTTGTAAGTTCCTGTAGAGTGGTACAGTGCGTACTCCTATGTTGCCCATGGTGGGGTGGTTCTAGGCGTCTATTGCTTATGTGTTGAGCTATCGAGAGTGTCAGAGCATACAAGAGGGTGAATGTATACCATAGAAATCTAGGATAGAGCTTCCCAATCCTATTCATTGGTACCGATCATGGATACTTCAAAAATTTTATTATTTGTTTGAACTCATGATCTGAACGAGTCGCACATATACCCTAGCACATGTTCCTCGATGCTGAGGACATCCCTTAAGCGCGGCCGATTTTCTAGCATTTCGTATTGGTTGTCTTGCATTTCTATTAAGTTGTTTAACCGTTGGCATGTCGTATGTATATATAAAATGGATTGGTTTAGATTGATCTTAACCTGATGATTCATCGTCATGAAGTATTTCTCACCCCAGCGCATTGCTAGTCTTGGCCCATGTGTAGTTGTAGGTGGTGGATTTAGTACCACCTTGAAAGTTTAGGAGGGTGTGTCCTTATTGCTGCAAATATAACACCTTCTTCTTAACTCTTTTACAAGAAGCAAGAAAGAAAGCGTAAGAGGTGCTATATGTGCATGTGGCGTCATTCCATGTGAACCTGGGGCGTACGGTTTTATGGTTTTAGATTTAGAAAATATAAGAGATCCAATGCTTTTATTGTTGAGTTCGACTAGAGTCTACTGGATTGATCCCTATATATTTATGATTTTAATAAGAATTTCTAGGGTTTATTCTTTCTTTTTTACGGTGCCTCTTGAGCATTAACTGCTCCATTGGGGACCTCTATTTACAATTTCTAGGTTCTGTCTCTTTCTCTAGCATGGTATCTATTTAGTTGAAACCTAAGCATCCTTTTCTGACATAATGAATCTATATATTAGTTTTCAACTTTTAAAATTTTTATATGTTTTAAAGTTATAAGGTTATATTAGCTTCCAAATTTGAATAGAAAGTTATATTTTAGCTTTCAGCTTTTT